AGTCGTGTGACAGACACAGTGATGAAGCTGGTATGTGTTTGCAGTACACAAGCCACGGTTAAGACCGCTGACTCCACTGTGATACTCGCCTCTCTCTCTCTCTCACTCACTCACTCACTCACTCACTCACACACACCTCATGAGAACCACATTAACTTACTGAGAACATTTTTTTTTAGGAATGACTGAAGATAAAATGACCTCATTTTTGGAACTTTATTTGGATTTTTAATTTCGATTATAGAAAAATGTGTGTATGTACATATGAGCTTATGTATACATTTGATATTTCTGAGATTTGAGATCAGTCAATTGTTTTGCCATTTGTATATTTATGCTGTTAACAACATTCTTAAGTTTGTAATATTTGCTTACATTTAAATATCTAATAATTGTAAGAACAATTTAAGCAAAAGTAAATTATATATATTTAGCCTCTGTTGTATATTGAAGCATTCTGGAAAACTAAAAAATACAGTAAATGACTTGCTTGCAGTTATACATTTGCATAATTTATTCTTTTAACGACTTGCTATGTAATCTCAGCACCTTGATTGTTTACATCTACGCTATACATAACTATCCTACACTGATAAATGTGCATTAAGATATTATAAATATTAACATCATACATTTCTGTAAAGCTCCTTTGAAATAATGTTCACTGTGAAAAAAAGTGATGGACAAATAAAACTTTGCTAGTGTTACTTACATAACTTGATGCCTTGTTTTTTATGATTTTTCTATTATTGTTTTTAATTGTAGATTTAGAGTTGGCATAATGAATCTTGTTGCATCGTATACAGTGGCATTAAAATGTTTCACATAACAGTATATCATTATATAACTGATTTTATATATATATAAATGCCATTTTCTTTGATATTAAAAGCTCACAAAAGGTTTCAAACTTGTGCAATAGACCGGGGCTAGTTGTCACACTTTTACTCCTGTGATTATGTATCTGGTTTCATTCTCGAAGTCATTTTCTGTACTCACACATGCTTTGCGACTCCAAAAAGCTTTTGAACATTTACTACAGGAAAAAAATAATAATAATACAATGCATTTAACATACTATTCCTATAATGGGTTGTCAGACTTCTCAGCAAAATATAAACCGCAGCTTCACAAATTAAGCAAAACGTGATTCATGAAAGAGCTAAGATCTAAAAGGTAACATATAAACTGTGCTTTTGGCGAACAGAAATAGTAATTAATTCACTGTATAAAATTACAGGATGTAAAAAACATGCGAAGGCTTGCCCTGATCTGACATTTATGACTCTCTTCATGAAAACACATCAGTTCCAAAAGATCAATAAATCCTCAAATAATTCCACTAAAACTGTCTGACATTAGCCTTTAAGAAATAATATAATATATCTGTACACCAAAAAAGTAAAACAAGCAAATTCAATACAAACTGCATTCCTGTACTCACCTTTATATATAAAATGCTTCTGAAATGCTAAAACCTATTAGTTTTCACACTATATATCATTAGTGCTCACAACAATATTGACATATATCGATTTTCATGCTTCAATCTGTTTTCAAAGGCCATATCCAATTCCAAAGCAGCTTTTCATTCCCTATCAGAGATAAAGTTACTGGAATGTGAGAAGAAAATCGGTCCGGACAGGTTTTGAATATGAGAAACCTTCCTTAAAATTCCCCACCAAAAACACACTGCACGTTTTTTTTTTTTTAAACATTTTTAATTTCACAAAACACATGAGTTTTTTTAACACGGGTTTTCATTTTCCTTCTGTGCATCTAACAACCTCGCCATTTTTAAAAAGAGGAAGAAAAAATAATTTACACATCTTTTCGCTTGTCATATCTACAAAAAATCAAATTAAAGAAATGACTAGAGCTTTACAGGAAATTAACATATAAAACAGGCCGTCAACTATATTACACGAGTCAATGTCAATAAAAATAAAAACAAACCTTTACGTACAGTAGTTCGCACGAGTATGGGTTTCTTCGTTGTGCAGCGTACAAATCGTCGAGCCGTTGATGCATATGAATGAATGTAGAACGATGGAGGAATGAGGCAAGAAACCAAAGTCGAGAAGGAAACGCATGGGAAAGAGTTAAAGCTAACGAGAGAAATCACGTCTACATTTCTCCACCTGAGTTAACAGTAGTTATCCAGACAAGCAACCGCCGCCGAATTCAATCCACGTTAAAAACGTTCTGCAGTCACGCATAAACTCACAAAAACAATTATTCAAATGAAAAATAAACAAAACAAACTTAAAAGGAGGTGAGGTAACAATCCTCCTTTGGCAGGTTAGGTGTACGAGTTAAACACTTATAAAGACGCTCGTGTTTCAAACGCAAAGTTGCGTCGTTTTTTTTTTTTTATTATTAGAGTTCCCGATCCCTTCATTTGTGTTTCAAGCACCCGTTGAGCTACGAATGAACTACCGCAAACAGTGAGCGACAAAAGTTCACAGTATTTACACGTAATGCAAATGTGTCAGCTTGCAGGTCACATGACATGATGTCAGAATTCATAGACACGCCCCTTTTTTCCACATTACGATATAAACAGGAGTCCAGTTACGAACTGTGCGATAGTGTTAAACTGTGCGTAGAAACCGAACAAACGTACGTTCATTTGATATTGGAGCACAAATCTTCAAAACAAAACCTTCACCTTTTTTCGTTTTCCTTCCTTTTTTTTTTTCCCGCATAGTGTTACGCAATGAAATACAAGCTACGATATTAACGAACGAACAATGATTTCGTGAGACATCCTTATTCGCCCCCTCCCCTTCATGTGTATTTCCACAGGGGTCCCAGTGCAAAAGAACCTGAATTTGTCAACGCAGTTTATCCGTAAACGGACGCGGCTCGCGATATGCGCGGCCGAAACGTCGCCCGTTTGTATTCACGAGTTTCCTGACGAGAAACAGACGAACAGCAGGTAAAGTGCTGGGTTTCCTTCGCGGGACAGAGTCATGTCTTCAGCCGCGCTAGATCACGTTCCACTTGCGTTTTTCACTTCCTGTTCTTCGCGCATCTCTTCACAATTTCACTCTTCGTCAATAACATCTCATTCGCTCTCTCTCTCGAATGCGCTACTACTTTCTTTTTCGTCCTTTCTTTCTCAGCGCTGGCCAAAGGGTCGTCCGTCCCGAGACACGAATTTCTGATTGACACAAACAACACATAATTTAGCCTGGATGGTGCTTCCAGGCGCAAGGCATGCTGGGAAGGGGCTACATCACAGAGTGCGGAGTGTGTGTTTGCATGAGATGAAAGTCCTCTATCAGGTCCAGTGTAAACCGTCAGAAACCAGTGGACTGGATTTCGGGCTGAGCTGGTTCTGTTGAGACGCCCTCTTTACCTGAACGAACAACACAGAAATATTAAATATAACACGGAATCTGCAGACTTTAAGAATATTTCTGCTCTGGAAAATGGATTTAAACATGCTAAAGTGTTAAAAACTAAACTCTAAAGGCCGATTCACACAGAGCGCGAAACGATTAATCGCCTTCACGTCTGCACGCTAGGTGGCGCCAACAACAATGCATTTTTCATCAGATAAGCAATTCATATATGGATTTAACATCATCTGCTGCTCAACAACATTGAATTAAGACAAATAAAGTTTGGTTCCACACCAGAAACACAAACTATCTATAATGCTTACAATAATACATATTAAATAGAGGCGCAATTAGCAAAATCTATGCGATTATTAATGTTTTTGCTTAAAACCCACTTTAATACTTGTAATAACGTCCGCTTTTGACCTAAAGTGGATGTTGATCTATAATAGTCAGACATGCCTTCATTGTATGTTTTATAATGGATTGAATGCTACACCCACATATCATCCGTCATAAACATCCTTTATTGTTATAAAAATACCATGAGCTTCATAAAAAAAAAAACCACATACAGGAAATATTTCTTCACACTCATGTCTATTTGCGTTAATATTTCATGTGTAAAAAAATGTTTCTCTCTATTTGTTTCATACAGAAGGGCAGGAGATATGATCACATGATTTACCCACTTTAAACTGCCCAACATCAAAGATCTTTACAGCTCCAGAGTGAGGAAAAGGGCTGGAAAAACCACCCTCACACCCAGCTCACTCCCTCTTTGAGCTGCTGCATAAGAACAATTTTTTCCCGCAGGCCATATTCAGCCTGAACAATTAAAAATCATAACTGACACTTTTATACATAGTATCTGGTAATTGTATATTGTTAAATACATAAACGGTACACTTGTAAATAACATATCTGTACATTCATTTAAACAATTACATGTTTTTTTCTCTATACTTCTATTTCTGTATATAGTGCATTATTTACTTTTCTGTTTGTCTTATATTAGTGTTATTTCATCTTTACTGTGTCATTCTATGCATGTCTGTACTTTCTTCTGATAACAAGAACTCGGCATCCACTCTCTTCTTCGGTGTTTGTTTACTCTGGTTTTCGAAACACTCGCACCCTTTTGTGCAACAGCAGCTGCTCTGGTCACGTGATCTAAGCTCAAATCTGATTGGACGGCCCGTTTAATCGCGGAGCGACGGGGGAAAAAAAATCGACACAAAAAACGATTTGTTTTGATCGTGCCTGCTGTGAACAGCCCCACAGGGATCTACTGTTTTGATTCAAAAGCGTCTTCGCGTTCAGTGTGAAAAGGCCTTTAAACATCAGTTTTCCTCACCATCTCCAGCTCCGCGGTCCAGTGATGGCATTCGGACCGCTGTGGGAGACTTGTAGACAAGATCACTTGATATTTTATCCACAGGAAGGGGCTTTCTTAACTTCTTCAGGAGTTTGTAGTGATCGGCTTCAATGTCCTACAACATCAGATAGAGAGATACAGATATAGATATGTATAGAAATAGACCTAACCTAATAATAACAAAAAAAATAAAACAAAACAAGAGGATTACATTTTTTTTTTTAACAAAATATAACTTCTTATTTCTTTCTTTAGTTTTTGGGTCAAATATGATCTGGACATGTGTGGACAGTGACGGCTGTGATGTGTGTGTGTGTGTGTGTGTGAGTGTGTGTGTGCGCGAGTGATGTGTGTGGTGTGTGTGTGTGTGCGAGTGATGTGTGTGTGTGTGTGCGCGCGAGTGATGTGTGTGTGTGAGTGAGTGGTGTGTGTTTGTGTGTGTGTGTGCGAGTGATGTGTGTGTGTGATGTGTGCGCGAGTGATGTGTGTGTGTGAGAGTGAGTGGTGTGTGTGTGTGTGTGTGTGTGTGCGAGTGATGTGTGTGTGTGACGTGTGCGTGAGTGATGTGTGTGTGTGTGTGTGTGTGTGTGTTTTACCCGCAGGTGCTGCAGTTTCCTCATCAGCTCCTCCATGGTGCTGAAGATCTCGTCCACGTTTTTGATCACATGTCGCTGGACGCTCGGCTGTGATTGGCCGAGTCTTTCCCTGTGACTCAGGGTCTCAGTCAGTGATTGGTCTGTTGGAGAGAGGCAGGGCGTCTCCTGTTCCTCTTCCTCACTGATGAAGGACATGTCTGGAGTCTGCTGGATGTTGTGAGATGCGTCGGAGTCTTTGAGCTCGTCTGTGCTGCTCTCGTCTGTGAGAGCGCTCGACTGATCTTTGGGCATGACCAGATAAAACATGTTTCCTGGAAGCAGCACAGCAACACAGCGTTGTTATTGGTAACAGAAACTAAAAATACAAACGTATAAAGAAATAAAACTGAAATAAAGTGGGGAAAAAAAAATTATAAATATCAGCTGAAAACAAAGTAAATGAAAATTAGAAATGTTGCCTGGCCAATTAACAAAATAATTTTATTTTCAAGTACTAAAATTACTAAAACTGAAAATAAATAAATAGGAATTTTCAACTAAGCCAAAAATAATAAAAACGACAAAACATTTTTTGTTATCTGAAATAAAGCTGAAAATAAAAAATAAAATAAAATAAACAATAAAAATAATAAAATAAGATAAATATTAGATGGAAACTTAAAATAAATTAAAATGAGAAATATTACAAAAATTTGAAGTACTAAAACTAAAACTGAATATTATGAAAATTAATAAAAGTAAAAATAGAATTATTAAACGAAGCAAAAATTGAAAAGACACAAATAAACAAAATTACTACACTTAAAATGAAAATATAAAACAAATGAATACAGATAATGAAATGAAAAAAGAAAACTGCAGCAATGTCAATTACTTAAACTAAAAAAAAAAAGAAAAATTGTGAACAAAGACAATAATTGTGTCATATGTAGAATTCTAAACCTACTACAGTAGTAAGTGTATTTTATGATAGCAGTAATGGGGTAATCAAAATATAATACAATAAATCTTGTGTTTATTTACTTTCATTAGTAAACTGAACTTCTGCCTTAAAAAGCATTTTTTTATTTTTAGATTGTAATGTTATATTAATATACATATTAAATCCAAATAGAAAATGTAGCAAATACAGAGATATATACCATATATGGCATTTCAGCCAAAAAAATACCGAGATATTATTTTTTTGGCCATATCGCCCAGCCCTAACATATATTACATATAATGTATAAAAAACATACTGGTGGACTACCAGTAAAAACTACTAAAACTATTAAATTCATTAAAAATAAGTAAATAAAAATGTGATTCTTTATAAACATCTCACAGCTTCCTGACTTTTACTGTTGTTTTGTATAATATTTCTCCCTCTCTGAGTCGCACTGTTGATCTCAGCAGGAATCGAGCTGAAACGGTGAATCGTTGAGGCTCACGAGAAGAACAGCAGAGAGAGAGACGTCTGCATCCAGATCATTCAGGACCGGTTTCCAAAACTAAACCAAATCTCACCCCGGATTATATTTCACAGTCGGCCGAGACTGAAAACAAGCGGCGAAGTTTGAGACGAGTCACAATTGTTTGCAGGAAACCGGCCCAGAATGCATCTGGCAGGAGTATTGTATGATATACATTAGCCCCACCTCCGTCCCGAGAGGATTGGCCGGCGGTGACATCACCGGTGATGTCGTCAGGAAGAGAACAGCCCGCACCCACAACTGTGTGTGAAAGACAGCGAGAGAGTGTGTGTGTGTGTGTGTGTGAA